TGTCTGTACATACCTATTTTTCTATCATAGGTTTTATGTCCAATTTCTCCACTTCTGAATAAGTTATAGATAAGATACAATATATGTTTTTATATATTTCTTCAAAGAATAGCTATCGGGAGATATAAGGAAATCGGCCTTATACGATATAGAATACGATATATATAGTAACTATCGACGCCATTTTGTTTCAGATTAAACATTGGCCAGACTCGTATTTCCAGGGACTCTAAACGCGAGAAAGAGAAATGCCCAAACGTGCTTGAATGTTCACCGCATGCGCACAAAGCAGCTGGAGAGAGAGGCTACTATATTATGTCTGTTCGTGTTACTTGAACTGGCCGCTCTAGGTCAGAGTTTATCTTCTTTACTCTACGTTGGAAAAAGAAGGATAAACTCTGACCTAGAGCGGCCAGTTCAGGTAAAACGAACAGACATATTGTCTGCACCGTAACGGTGAGCTTCAGGGCTGCGGTCCGTTTCATACTTAAGCGCACATTTATCTATAGTATACGTGACATATACTACAGATAAATGCGCGATTAAGCATGAAACGGACCGCAGCCCAGGTCGGCACCGTACTAGCAATATAGGAGTATTACATATATGCTTACCATAGACTTATATAATAGATAGACAGAACATTTGTGTAAGAGGAGCTGAAGCTTCGGTAAAAGAGACAGAAATAGTCGTGGAGTAGTTCTCTTCTCTTCTAGCAGTGAGTTGATTGGTGGCCGCGGCAGGCCGAGGAAGTGGCCAAGGGCAACGAAGATAGACGTCCGAGAGTCAGGCCTGGTTTATGCGGACAATAACTGTTAACTTATGCCGGAACCGGTATAGTTTGACTATAGGATTTCTGTTTATACAAAATTGCCGAAAGCGTATAAACAGAAGTATTGAAATCCTATAGTTAAACTCTACCGGTTCCGGCATAAGTTAACAGTTATTGCCCGCATAAACCAGGCCTCAGTTGAGAGCATAGAACTTATACTCATGGAGAGGCCCTGCGACCGCAAGGAGGATCGACAAAGAGAAATATATTTTTCTGTTTCAACTGTGGCCACTTCTTATAGAAGAAAATAACAGAGAACACGGAGTGGGGGAGCCACAGTTGAGACAAAATATATATTGACAGAGAGAAACCTGAGAGCGGCCATGCCATTATAGTTTCTTACGACGGTTTTAACCACTGGTTTTAGCCGTATTTCCACAAAAGTGGAACTCAAAGGCCGTTCTCCATGAAACTCAAGTCGCAGGTCTCGTGGAACTGATCAATCACGTTGGTCGATTGGCTGATTTGACTCTGCAATTGGTCAATTCCACGAGATCTGCTACTTGCGTTTAATGTAGAA